TATTTCAATGCATATTGGCCTCCAATTCTCGGTATTTAAGAAGAAAACTATATTGGTATTTATTTTATAGAAGATTCTATACTATCTTAAAGAGGATTGATTGATGCATGTTAATATAAGTCGATCCAATTCATAAAAACAACCTTTTATAGGTCCAACTCAAGTCACGGTAAAGCATATGATATTGCAACCATCATAAGATACAGAATATATGATAAATTGATGTCATGAATACTTCTTAAACACACACACAAACACACACACATACATACATACATACATACATACATACATACATACATACATACATAATATATATATATATATATATATATATATATATATATATATATATATATATATATATTTATATTTATATTTATATTTATATTAGAGTTGATACGTAACACAGTTGATCTTTTATTGTTGGGCTATTGGAAGGACCAGTTCACTTGCAGGTGGCAACGAGGACTTTCCTCGGCGGCATCGAAGGCCGCCTCCCATGGAGCAAGGCCAGATTATCCAAGAAGAGCACGTCCCCTTCCTCCCACTTGAACTGCACGCTCTCCTCCTCGATGATCTCGCCGCACCTCTTCACGACGTGTTCGGGTATCTCCGACCCGTCCGCCATGGTCGCCGAGCTGGTCTCCTTGCCATGCATGCCGACGACGGTGTTGAACCACATGCGCCTTGCCTTCCTCCCCGGGAAGACCCGAGTCAAGGGCCGCGGCCCCAAGACGGTCGTCGCCCCGCCGTTTGGGAGCCACTCGATGTTCATTCCCAGTGCCCTGGCCCTGCACCGTTGACTCCATTCATTAGAACTACATGCTTCTGCTGTGGAGGACGAGATGGATGATGGTACCTTCGCTCTGCTTCGACCGGATCGGATGTGCCGAAGGCGTCCTCCCATCCTCTTCCCCTCATGGAGGTGGTGTCGTTCTTGCTGACGGCAGTGAAGGTGTATCGCAGTCCCTTCTCCTCCATCTCCCTCACGTTGTCGGGGTACTCCTCAAGCATTCTCTCCGTGACTCGAAAGCTCGGCACGAAGGGCGTCTCACCGCCCTCCGGCGGCGGCACTTGGCAGAAAAGGATCACCTTGGTGGGGAATTCGTTGATCTGACCATCACATATCAGTAAAAGGTACATATATCTGATCACTTCATCGATCGAACAAGGAAGCATGGGGCTTCGAGCTCACCAGAACCATCTCATGGTGGTAGTATATGAACTCGGACAGGGGTCCTTCGTTGGCGGTCCACACGCGCTTGTGGACGTGAGTCCTTGGCGCAGGGCCGACATAGCGAATGTCGTCCCACCCGAAGGCATCGACGATCTCGTTGAAGCCCTCGGCGTCGCGCACGTCGAATCCCCTGAAGAGGACGGCGCTGTGCTGCAGCAGCTTCTCCTCGAACCACTCTTTGTTGGCCTTGAGCGTTGCCACCAGTGAGCATAGGCCTCGCTTTTGGGCTTCGGCTGGGCGGAGCACCAGCGGCATCTGCTCTCCGTCAACGAGCTTTTGGCCCTTGCATTCGCCCACCTCAAACTCGTTGTTCACCACCTCCATTACTGCTTTGGGACTCTCTCTCTCTCTCGCTCTCGTTTGTGTGTGAAGAGAGGATCGTGGCCTGATAAAGGAGAAGCCACGCTAGTTAGACAATAGATCCATTAGAACAGACAAGAACATTTTTTGGTGTAGAAAGTGCCAGAAACTGTTGGAAGGCAACGATGAATCCTATAGAGAACGTAGTATGCCAAATGTGTTGAGCTTTGGAAGCCATGTACAGATTACAAGAAGCTTTGGAGACTTGGTAATGAGTGATTTTGGCTTGTACTTGTCGAGAGGAAATCCTTCAACGACGACCATAATTAAGGTCACGTATTTCTCCATTCATAGAAAGAAAAAATGAGTTATTATAGCAGAGCCCAGACATTAGCCATGCAGCCGTTTCACATAGGCTCAAATCTCCCTGCAACGAACTGTCGAGAGCCAGCACTATCTTAGCTAGAGTGTTTCATCCCAAGTAGCTGCTCATGGCCATTAATCAATCTATCATTTTGTGTACTCGTCCAATAAGTTTCTACATATGAATCTCTCAGCTTTTCATATATGCTAATGCAAGCGCAAGAAGTCCTGATTCATCATTTCACTTGTTCAAGTACATTTAGATAAATCTCAATGTCACTGTCGAACCAAGTTCAAAATATCAAATGGCGTCTCATAACATGTTTCATGAAGCAAACGTTGCCAGTGTCACCCAACATAGAACAATAACTTCAGATGAAACTTGGACAAACAGGTCCTTTTGATATGCCAAGGCGAACTTCCATCCCGTGATGCATGTCCAGTGGCTTGAATGTTTCCGAGTCCTGTGGCACTGCAAATCCGAAAAGAGAAAAAAATATTAGACAACAACACAGCATGTAAATTCAAAAACAATAATGGAAAAAGAAAAAAGAAAAAAAATATTATAAACTGTGACAGACTCATTTAAGTAAAGCATCATAATAACCATAACCAGTTCTTCTAGTTGTACTGGAAGATAGCACTACCAGTAAGTTGGTCAAAAAGCCACACTTCACTTAACACTCTAAATCTCTAAGGCTCACGAGAATTGCCAACAATCTGCTAACCCATTTGTCCAAAACTACAAGCAGCAAATTAGATGAAAATTCTGCATTGCCCTGCCATATATGAAGGTACATAAGAGCCATTGATACTTGGAAATCCATATTGATAATGATCTCAGACTCATTACATAGGGTCCTCTTTCCTGAGTAAGCAGGGTGCATTGTGCATACATGTGTCAGCATGCTTAGCTCTTCACCATGGACTATAATTGTCACATGCTAAATGAAAACATAGAACAATCCCAAATGAAGATATTGATTTATCAGCAGAAATAGTGAGGAGCAAACTAGGATAGTCAACAAAATATCATAAAATTCCACAATTGTGACAGAAAGATAGCATTATATACCTTACGAAAACAATATGCAAGGAATGCTAGACATATGCAAAAACTTCTCAGAGACTAAATTTGAGAAATTGAAAGAGATAAAACTTGTAAAAGAAGAAAAAACACATACAGTTAAGGTAATCTTCAAAAGCAAAATCATCCAAGCCACCAGTGAGAGCCTCAAATCCTAGCATGGAAGAGGGCAATGCTCCGGGAGGTCTTTGGAATCTGCAAATGATAATGCAATCCTATTAGGAACATAAAGAGTTATACTAGATAAAAGAAGTCAAATTAGTATATCAGATATTACATGCTAGGTCAGCCTCACATATCTGAAATTAATACTCATCAGATACTTACCCCATTGATCTTAAACACATCGTTCAGTCATTTCCTAACAAACAAAGATTGGACACTTAGAAATATAGGTGCACACTCTCAGAGTACCTCCAATGGCTTCTAGATGTTGACCAAATCATAAGCATTAGACAAGATATACACTTAGTTTTAGGTGTGAACTTGCAATTATTGCATTAAATATCTGATATCAGAACACCATTTATCTTTTCTTCACTTCTAAATTTCTACCTAGCTCCTTGGTATTTCCAGCACTTTGTTATTGTCAAATAGCTTCTTGATAAAACCCTCATGTCATTTCTTAGATTGACTTAGAATAAAAGTCCATACAAAAAATGCAAACCAAAATTTTCATATAAGATTTACCAATCCTATGTCTACCTCACAAATGGTCTAAACAGAAATTAATACTTCAAAAATAAATGTTTAAATTTTTTGCATATTTAAAAATTATGAACCACCTGAAGCTATTCAAGATGCTTGACAACTAAATACATGTTTAATCCAAATTCAGGTTGTCTTAAGATTTTTAAGCCTGAGTCCATGATCCGACACAACCTGCCCAAATTTGGGAAAACTTATGGTTTGCATGGTCAAGTTACACCCCCTATATAAACTTAAAATACTCTTTCATTGTATTTCAATCTTATGTGTAGGTCATCTATATTCAAATAAAGAATATTTATCCTTAAACCATTAAGGAGCTGCATCGGCGAAATGTGAAATATGCTGGTAGATAATGATATTACCTAAAGGCAACCCTAGACAACAAGGACCAGTTAATAGCCAATGCCAGATCTTACATTCTCCCTGTTGACCCATATCATATATATAAGTTAATGGGGGAAACAACCTAACCCACTTTCCAGATCTAAATGAGAGGCCGATATATATGAAAAGGTTTTTGAATATCACAAAAAAAAGGAAAAAAACAGATGTATGGGCCAAACAAGTATAAGACAACAAAGTAGCCAACTACATCAGAATATGAACTTATCAGCCAGTCAACCACCTTCATACAAACACTTCAATATGCAAGAGGAAAGATTTGGGAAAGCTGAACTCAGTCAGAGAAGGAACTAGACATGCTTGGACCTTCAAGGTAACCCACCCCAGATGGGCCTCTCTTCTTTGGTTCATATTTGTCATATATATAAAGATGAGACAAGCTCAGAGCATA